GATTCTTCCGGATGCTCGACCTCCGAGGGACCTCGGGAGGTCCCTTGGGGAACGTGTCGAAATGGCTGTAGCCCGAGGAATCCCCAAGGAATCCCCAAGGAATCCCCAAGGAAATGTTTTCACTTTTTTTTTTCAATTTCTTCCCCGAGGGTAAGTGGAACGATGAATTCCTCGGGGGATCTATGCGCCCGCGGAAAAATGGCTGTGAAATGTGCTGGTGGTTCCAATATACTAGAATAACAGTGCTGATGTGCATATGCAGGGCGAGACGGTCTTTTCGAAGGAAACAGCACTCCACCTTTTCTGCAAGTAAAGGCGGTGCACACAGTTGAAATGAAATATCATAACGCTTGCCACAAGTTTTAATTTCTGCCAAGCGTCGCTTGGCAGAAATTAAAACTTGTGACCCAGCATGCAGCAGCAGACTAGCAGTCTTGCGTTCTCGTCCACAGTGCCACCGTACAGCCAGCGTCTAGCCAGCGTCAAACCAGCGTCCAGCCAGCGTCAAGGCAGCATAGCAAGACTGAAAGTTGACTCCCTGGAGGCAGGGTCTTATGTAGCATTTGACTGGGTAGACCTGCCTCAGGTCTCACACCACGGTGGCTCAGATTGATTCGCAGTCGACGGCCTGGATCCCATACAGTTGCAGACTTTCGCTTCGCCTGAATGCTGTCTTGGTACCTGCATACAAACAAGTGCGTGTGTCTGACCGGCGGCCTGGGCTGGGTCCACGGTGACTTTGACTGAGGGCTGTGTACAGTTGACTTTTGGTCAACTGTCTGGCGCAGGGCCCCTGAATCCAAACATTTGGGGTCCTGCCCCTACGTGCTGCGGCCTAGGCCATTGTCGGACCTGGGTCCTTAGACAGGTTATGAGGCATAACGAACGGGTTATTGCAGCCTAGTTAAAAAAAAAAAAAAAAAAAAAAAAAAAAAGGACAACCCACCTAGCACATATGACTGAATGGAATGGTACACTCATGAGCTGTTCGATAAACAGACCTGAGACCTGAGTTCAAATCTTGACGGAATCAGATGAAGAAAATAATTTGGAATGACCTGGCGCCCGCTTGGCATCGGTAATGATACCTAAAGGCCATTGCCCTCCTTGATGGAATGGCAAGAACTGAAACCGAAAAGTCTGCTGCGGCCGTCGATAAGCCACTTGTGTTATTTTCGGAGTCAGACGGAAGGAAGCCTATCACAGCCATGATAATACCGACACACTACTTCGTAGTACGCATGCACTCAGCAAGAGGGGGGTACCTCGCAAGTGGCATGGCTGGTGATGCTGATGCCTGATGCCTGACGCCTGATGCCTGACGTCGCTTCATTAGCCTGCAGATTTCACAGACAACCTATGAAAATCCATTTCGGCATTTTCTGTGATGATTTTGACTCATTTTATGGGGTTCTGATATGTAGGGATCTCCTTCAGAGTACATTATCACCAAATGCACAGCCTTTGGAGACCCACATGCCAGTGGTCGGGAAGGCAATGGGAGAGAAGCACTCTTCTTCACTATTCAGTGGTGTTTTTTTTTTTTTTCCAGTGTATTCACCATCCAGTGGCATCCACAGCATTAAAAAAAAAAAAAAAAAAAAAAAGTTTTACCAAAGGCTGCGGGGTAAGAGGGGGAAGGGGGGGCAACCGAGGGGGGACTGTGGGTTTTGTTAGTAGGTCAGAAGGAAGGGGCTGGGACGACGCAGGCCGGTGCTGGAGTGTTTTTGCTCTGTGACCCGGAGAGGAGCATGAGGCTTGGGGAGGTCTGTCAAGGGAGGAAGATAGAACCAGCACTTTCGACGTGGCTGTAGCTGGGGTGTATCCCTGTCACCGTTTGGGGCGTGCGGCTATGGGGAGTTGTCGAGGGAGGAAGGCACTCCTCACCATCTTCGCTAGGTTGGTCGGTACTGGGGCTTGGTGGGGTCCTGTAACTCTAGCATGGGAGGGTATGAGACCAGCCGTGTGTAGTTTGAGGACTGAACACGAGACCTGTAGTTTTCTTCAATAGTTACGGGGAGAGTGGGTGGTTGTTTATTTGTGCAGTCCTTACTAATGTTCTCTGGTTCTGGATCCTTGGTAGTTTTTAGCCCTTACTTGCAACTGGGGTGTAGGAGTTCAGAGAGGGTCACAAGGGGACTGACATCCGCATAGCTTTTTTGTTCTGTGCCCCTGTTTTGCCGATGCCAGAACGACGCTGGTCGGAGCTGGGGCGTCGGCCTGTGACCTGCAATTCGCAGGAGTATGAGGCGTTGTAGAGAGATCTGGGGTTTGCCGAGGGTGGAAGGCAAGCCAGTGGCGAATCGGGGGGGGCTGCGTAGTGGCGAGAAGAGATTAGCTATGGGTGATGTTAGTATGGTTGGTACTGTCCCTGAGTAAGTATGTCCCGGGGAAAGGAAGGCTAGAAATTACCTTAGGAGTCTAGATCTAAAGGTCTGCTGGTTTGCTTGGTTACCAACAAGGGTCTTAAGAGTGTTTTAGGAATCTGGGGACTTCTAATAACCCAGCTGAGATGATTCAGTACTTATGTATTCAGTGACCTGCGGAGTGTTCGATGTCAGAACGACGCTGGCCGGTGCTGGGGCATTGCCCTGTAACCTGCGGATGCAGGAGCGTGAGGCTTGGTAGAGAGATCTGGGGATGCTTTGGGGGGGCATTCTAAGGGACAACCAAGGGTTGCTGCTGGGACAACGCTGGTCGGAGTTGGGGTGAGTCGTGTCACCCTGTAACCCAGCAGGGTGGGGGTGTGAGACCTGGAAGAGCTCAGCAGCGAGTTTTGTCAGTGTTGGAAAACTCAGATGGGTTGCTAGGGACTCGTAGATCTCTGAGCATTAGTGGACTTCTGTGGTGGCGTTTTCAGTTGTAGCAGACGGATTTTCTTGAAGTTTGTCAAAGTAAATTTCCGAGTAGCCTAGCAAAGCCGGGTAATGGCTCCGGCACCTTAGAAACTTTCAGATTCTACGTTTTTCATCATTACGATTTCGGTCATCATCATAAGGGACGCTGAGCCCGGTTCTCAGCAATCTCGGTTTTGTTACTCCGGGTAGACTGTGAGGACCCCGGCCTCAATATCTTCCATTACTAATATCAGCCTTGGGCACTGGGCCCGTTTAAATAGGAAAAAAAAAAAAAAAAAAGGTGTGGTGTGGATGGGTGTGCAGTGCCGCCACAAACCAGTTCCACTTTCTATAAAATTCTCCAGCATTAGGAAAAAAAAAGAAAAAAAAAATTCACCCACTCACCCACCCAGCAGTTGCAGTTATCTAGAAAATTCTCCAGCCACTCACCCACCCAGCAGTTGCAGTTTCTAGAAAATTCTCCAGCCACTCGCACCACTCACCCATCCAAAGGAGAGAAGCACATTGGTCCAAAAAAAGAACAAGAAAAAGGGAGAACCACATTCATAAGCCGGGAGACTAAATTCAATGCTCCACATTGCACAGTGTCAGCACACACATGCTATATACATATCTATTTGACGATATATACATTTATGGATGTATATGTCAATATCATTATATTATATAATAATAAATATATATATATATATATATAGCCTCCTGATGGGTTGGCAAAACTCTGACAAAACAGTCCGTCACAGCCATTCTTTCGTTGTCCTCATCTCCCTCCCTCTCTGCCTACGGTTTACTTGGCAGTTCTGTTTGACAAGGTATTATTATAGGAGCCAATCATCGAGGGGCAAGAATCCCGCAAGATCCCACTTGCCAAGATTAAGACGTGCTGTCTAAAGCTACAGTGGAGATCGGCGGCCAGTACCTCCTAATCTGTGCGAGTGGAGCATCGCCCCTGTAGAGCGAGAGCAGCACGGCCAATCAAACGTGACCAGCATTAATTTTGACGGTTGCACCGAACACTACACAAAATGAATGAGCATCATCGAAAGAAAAGGACACTCACTGCACCTCTAGCCAAATCGAACTCCTGGCAGTATAATCTTGTATCTTTCCGCAAAAGCTGAAAGCCTGGGAGGAACTAGTTTGTAGCAGCAGGTATCTGGCGCCTGGTTCAGGGCGAAGAGGTTCTCTCCCTTCTTCCAATATCCTGCTCAGTCAATCCTCTGGATTCCAGGGCAATCAATGCTGGCAGGAGTTTCTCTCTCCTTTTTTTTCTGACATACTTGAAATTCATTCTATATATGGGACACTGGACCTGTTCTCCAGTAGGTGATGCTCCCCACCAATAGATGGAGCCTCTCCCAAGGTGCTAGTGGTGTCTGCTCTTACCAGCACCACTATCACCGGAGGGGGCATTTCTTTTTTTAAAAAAAAGAAGAAGAAGCTGAAAGCCTGAAAAATATGCTCACCGATTTCACATCTGGCACGTGGTGAAGAGAGGCCCAAGGCCTGGAGACGGTTGGACTCGCAAACTTCCAGTCAAGCCAGAGAGCCAGAGACTGCACAGTGCTCCACCCACAGTCCCTGTCCTCCCTCTCACTCAGACTGCAAATGCGGCAGGAATTGACAAGTACCATTCCAAGCCTGCCTGTCAAGCGGCAGTATGGCCGAGACCCTGAATTGCTGAACTTTTTTTTTTTTTTTTTTTTTTTTTTTTTTTTTTTTTTTTTTTTTTTTTTTTTTTTTTTACAATTGCTCCAATCTATTCATGGGGAGCAGCACGTGCTGGAAACCAGGCCCAGCGTCCCATCTGGAATTATACAAAACATGTGAAATACCAGGGTCATTACCCGGCTTCGGCTGAGAATCAACTAAGAAAATTCAAGGAAATTTCGGAGAAGTCATGAGTAACTACCAAGTTACTAACCAATGCAACAATGAATTCCTGAACCTAAATATTTTGCACCCGAACAAATTGAACCAGTGCCTGCTGGCTGCCGGGAGAGTACATGGAAAGAGCTGCCTGATTGAGCGCAATGCAAATTGATCTCTATACTACTAACGCATGCAAAGGGCCCCGTGTGGGCCCCAGCAGAAACCGGTCCGGAACAGCACAGGGCCAGCGGGACACCAATGGGGCGGGGGAATGGCTGGGCCGGTTCTGGGGGTCGAAGCATGGGGAAGCGCCGGGCCGGGGGTCGAAGCGTGCTGACACTGCTGAGGGCTGGCGGGCGAGGGGGCGAAGCGGCGCCGGAACACTGGGGGACGCGACCCCCAGGCAAGGGGAGGCCGGGCCGGGTGCCAGGGGGCCGAGGGGGTTGGCACAGACAGAGAGAGATGAAGCGACACAGGAGAGGGAGAAGTGGGAGAAGGAGTGGGCGGAGGAGCGGAGGAGCGGGAGGAGGAAGGGGGGGAAGAGCAGGAGAAGCAGCGGGAGGAGGAGGAGCAGGAGGAGCAGGAGGAGCAGCAGGAGGGGGAGCGGGAGAAGTAGACGGAGGAGGAGCGGGAGGAGGAGCTGGAGAAGGACCAGCGGAAGGAGGGACGGGGAGACGAGCAAGGGAAGCAGCGGGAGAAGGAGGAGGAGCAGGAGGAGCGGGAGGAGCAGCAGGAGGGGGAGCAGGGGAAGAAGAGGGAGGAGGAGCGGAAGGAGCGGGAGAAGGAGCAGCGGGAGGAGGAATGGGGGGAAGAGCAGGAGGAGCAGCAGGAGGGAGAGCGGGAGAAGGAGAGGGAGGAGGAGCGGGAGGAGGCGCAGGAGAAGGAGCGGGAGGAGGACGAAGTTGGAGCGGGAGGAACGGGAGGAGGACAAAGTTGTCATGGAGGAACAGCGGGAAGTCTGTCTCTCTCCCTCTCTCTCTCTGTGGCTACCCACGTGCCGGGCCTTTTTTCTTTTTTTTCTTCGTAGGAAATGGCTATGGCGGGATGTTTGCCACGTTGTTTGGCGGAGCAGGAGCAGGAGGAGGAGCAGGAGCGGGAGAAGGAGTGGGAGAAGGAGGAGGAGCTCATCCTATCGATGGAAGTACCCTCTCTCTCTCTCTCTCTCTCTCTCTCTCTCTCTCTCTCTCTCTCTCTCTCTCTCTC